CTTAGGTTCACTGATGTTCACTGATGTCTCTTAGGTTCACTGATGTTCACTGGTGTCTCTTAGGTTCACTGATGTCTCTTAGGGTTCACTGATGTCTCTTAGGTTCACTGATGTCTCTTAGGTTCACTGATGTTCACTGGTGTCTCTTAGGTTCACTGATGTTCACTGATGTCTCTTAGGTTCACTGATGTTCACTGGTGTCTCTTAGGTTCACTGATGTCTCTTAGGGTTCACTGATGTCTCTTAGGTTCACTGATGTCTCTTAGGTTCACTGATGTTCACTGATGTCTCTTAGGTTCACTGATGTTCACTGATGTCTCTTAGGTTCACTGATGTTCACTGGTGTCTCTTAGGTTCACTGATGTTCACTGGTGTCTCTTAGGTTCACTGATGTTCACTGGTGTCTCTTAGGTTCACTGATGTTCACTGATGTCTCTTAGGTTCACTGATGTTCACTGATGTCTCTTAGGTTCACTGATGTTCACTGGTGTCTCTTAGGTTCACTGATGTTCACTGGTGTCTCTTAGGTTCACTGATGTTCACTGATGTCTCTTAGGGTTCACTGATGTTCACTGATGTCTCTTAGGTTCACTGATGTCTCTTAGGGTTCACTGATGTCTCTTAGGGTTCACTGATGTCTCTTAGGGTTCACTGATGTTCACTGATGTCTCTTAGGGTTCACTGATGTTCACTGATGTCTCTTAGGGTTCACTGATGTCTCTTAGGGTTCACTGATGTCTCTTAGGGTTCACTGATGTCTCTTAGGGTTCACTGATGTCTCTTAGGGTTCACTGATGTTCACTGATGTCTCTTAGGTTCACTGATGTTCACTGATGTCTCTTAGGTTCACTGATGTTCACTGGTGTCTCTTAGGGTTCACTGATGTTCACTGGTGTCTCTTAGGTTCACTGATGTTCACTGATGTCTCTTAGGTTCACTGATGTTCACTGGTGTCTCTTAGGTTCACTGATGTTCACTGATGTCTCTTAGGTTCACTGATGTTCACTGGTGTCTCTTAGGTTCACTGATGTTCACTGGTGTCTCTTAGGTTCACTGATGTTCACTGATGTCTCTTAGGTTCACTGATGTTCACTGGTGTCTCTTAGGTTCACTGATGTTCACTGATGTCTCTTAGGTTCACTGATGTTCACTGGTGTCTCTTAGGTTCACTGATGTCTCTTAGGTTCACTGATGTTCACTGATGTCTCTTAGGGTTCACTGATGTCTCTTAGGTTCACTGATGTTCACTGATGTCTCTTAGGTTCACTGATGTTCACTGATGTCTCTTAGGTTCACTGATGTTCACTGATGTCTCTTAGGTTCACTGATGTTCACTGGTGTCTCTTAGGTTCACTGATGTTCACTGGTGTCTCTTAGGTTCACTGATGTTCACTGATGTCTCTTAGGTTCACTGATGTTCACTGGTGTCTCTTAGGTTCACTGATGTTCACTGATGTCTCTTAGGTTCACTGATGTTCACTGGTGTCTCTTAGGTTCACTGATGTCTCTTAGGTTCACTGATGTTCACTGATGTCTCTTAGGGTTCACTGATGTCTCTTAGGTTCACTGATGTCTCTTAGGTTCACTGATGTTCACTGATGTCTCTTAGGTTCACTGATGTTCACTGGTGTCTCTTAGGTTCACTGATGTCTCTTAGGTTCACTGATGTTCACTGATGTCTCTTAGGGTTCACTGGTGTCTCTTAGGGTTCACTGATGTCTCTTAGGTTCACTGATGTCTCTTAGGTTCACTGATGTTCACTGATGTCTCTTAGGTTCACTGATGTTCACTGGTGTCTCTTAGGTTCACTGATGTTCACTGGTGTCTCTTAGGTTCACTGATGTCTCTTAGGTTCACTGATGTTCACTGGTGTCTCTTAGGTTCACTGATGTCTCTTAGGTTCACTGATGTTCACTGGTGTCTCTTAGGTTCACTGATGTCTCTTAGGTTCACTGATGTTCACTGATATCTCTTAGGGTTCACTGGTGTCTCTTAGGGTTCACTGGTGTCTCTTAGGTTCACTGATGTCTCTTAGGTTCACTGATGTTCACTGATGTCTCTTAGGTTCACTGATGTTCACTGGTGTCTCTTAGGTTCACTGATGTTCACTGGTGTCTCTTAGGTTCACTGATGTTCACTGGTGTCTCTTAGGTTCACTGATGTCTCTTAGGTTCACTGATGTTCACTGGTGTCTCTTAGGTTCACTGATGTTCACTGGTGTCTCTTAGGTTCACTGATGTTCACTGGTGTCTCTTAGGTTCACTGATGTTCACTGGTGTCTCTTAGGTTCACTGATGTTCACTGGTGTCTCTTAGGTTCACTGATGTTCACTGGTGTCTCTTAGGTTCACTGATGTCTCTTAGGGTTCGTTCACTGGTGTCTCTTAGGTTCACTGATGTTCACTGGTGTCTCTTAGGTTCACTGATGTTCACTGGTGTCTCTTAGGTTCACTGATGTTCACTGATGTCTCTTAGGTTCACTGATGTCTCTTAGGTTCACTGATGTTCACTGGTGTCTCTTAGGGTTCACTGATGTCTCTTAGGTTCACTGATGTTCACTGGTGTCTCTTAGGTTCACTGATGTTCACTGATGTCTCTTAGGTTCACTGATGTTCACTGGTGTCTCTTAGGGTTCACTGATGTTCACTGATGTCTCTTAGGTTCACTGATGTTCACTGATGTCTCTTAGGTTCACTGATGTTCACTGGTGTCTCTTAGGTTCACTGATGTTCACTGGTGTCTCTTAGGTTCACTGATGTTCACTGGTGTCTCTTAGGTTCACTGATGTTCACTGGTGTCTCTTAGGTTCACTGATGTTCACTGATGTCTCTTAGGTTCACTGATGTTCACTGGTGTCTCTTAGGTTCACTGATGTTCACTGGTGTCTCTTAGGTTCACTGATGTTCACTGGTGTCTCTTAGGTTCACTGATGTTCACTGATGTCTCTTAGGTTCACTGATGTTCACTGGTGTCTCTTAGGTTCACTGATGTTCACTGGTGTCTCTTAGGGTTCACTGATGTTCACTGATGTCTCTTAGGTTCACTGATGTTCACTGGTGTCTCTTAGGTTCACTGATGTTCACTGGTGTCTCTTAGGTTCACTGATGTTCACTGATGTCTCTTAGGTTCACTGATGTTCACTGGTGTCTCTTAGGTTCACTGATGTTCACTGGTGTCTCTTAGGTTCACTGATGTTCACTGGTGTCTCTTAGGTTCACTGATGTTCACTGATGTCTCTTAGGTTCACTGATGTTCACTGGTGTCTCTTAGGTTCACTGATGTTCACTGATGTCTCTTAGGTTCACTGATGTTCACTGGTGTCTCTTAGGTTCACTGATGTTCACTGGTGTCTCTTAGGTTCACTGATGTTCACTGATGTTCACTGGTGTCTCTTAGGTTCACTGATGTTCACTGGTGTCTCTTAGGTTCACTGATGTTCACTGATGTCTCTTAGGTTCACTGATGTTCACTGGTGTCTCTTAGGTTCACTGATGTTCACTGGTGTCTCTTAGGTTCACTGATGTCTCTTAGGTTCACTGATGTTCACTGGTGTCTCTTAGGTTCACTGATGTTCACTGGTGTCTCTTAGGTTCACTGATGTTCACTGATGTCTCTTAGGTTCACTGATGTTCACTGATGTCTCTTAGGTTCACTGATGTTCACTGGTGTCTCTTAGGTTCACTGATGTTCACTGGTGTCTCTTAGGTTCACTGATGTTCACTGGTGTCTCTTAGGTTCACTGATGTTCACTGGTGTCTCTTAGGTTCACTGATGTTCACTGGTGTCTCTTAGGTTCACTGATGTTCACTGGTGTCTCTTAGGTTCACTGATGTTCACTGATGTCTCTTAGGTTCACTGATGTTCACTGGTGTCTCTTAGGTTCACTGATGTTCACTGGTGTCTCTTAGGTTCACTGATGTTCACTGGTGTCTCTTAGGTTCACTGATGTTCACTGATGTCTCTTAGGTTCACTGATGTTCACTGGTGTCTCTTAGGTTCACTGATGTTCACTGGTGTCTCTTAGGGTTCACTGATGTTCACTGATGTCTCTTAGGTTCACTGATGTTCACTGGTGTCTCTTAGGTTCACTGATGTTCACTGGTGTCTCTTAGGTTCACTGATGTTCACTGATGTCTCTTAGGTTCACTGATGTTCACTGGTGTCTCTTAGGTTCACTGATGTTCACTGGTGTCTCTTAGGTTCACTGATGTTCACTGGTGTCTCTTAGGTTCACTGATGTTCACTGATGTCTCTTAGGTTCACTGATGTTCACTGGTGTCTCTTAGGTTCACTGATGTTCACTGATGTCTCTTAGGTTCACTGATGTTCACTGGTGTCTCTTAGGTTCACTGATGTTCACTGGTGTCTCTTAGGTTCACTGATGTTCACTGATGTTCACTGGTGTCTCTTAGGTTCACTGATGTTCACTGGTGTCTCTTAGGTTCACTGATGTTCACTGATGTCTCTTAGGTTCACTGATGTTCACTGGTGTCTCTTAGGTTCACTGATGTTCACTGGTGTCTCTTAGGTTCACTGATGTCTCTTAGGTTCACTGATGTTCACTGGTGTCTCTTAGGTTCACTGATGTTCACTGGTGTCTCTTAGGTTCACTGATGTTCACTGATGTCTCTTAGGTTCACTGATGTTCACTGATGTCTCTTAGGTTCACTGATGTTCACTGGTGTCTCTTAGGTTCACTGATGTTCACTGGTGTCTCTTAGGTTCACTGATGTTCACTGGTGTCTCTTAGGTTCACTGATGTCTCTTAGGTTCACTGATGTTCACTGGTGTCTCTTAGGTTCACTGATGTTCACTGGTGTCTCTTAGGTTCACTGATGTTCACTGATGTCTCTTAGGTTCACTGATGTTCACTGGTGTCTCTTAGGTTCACTGATGTTCACTGGTGTCTCTTAGGTTCACTGATGTTCACTGATGTCTCTTAGGTTCACTGATGTTCACTGATGTCTCTTAGGTTCACTGATGTTCACTGATGTCTCTTAGGTTCACTGATGTCCAGTGATGTCTCTGCTGGTGTTCTCGGTTCCTCTGCTCTCGGCTGTGGTCTTGATGACGGCTGTTTTCCGCTCACCTCTGTTGGCTCTGTGCCGTCAGCTGTATTCTGGCACACTCAGGCGTTCTCACAGGAAGGTGTGTGTCAGCTCCACTCACGCCTATGTCTTCTCCAACTGCACCCACGGACAGGCTCAGAGTGTTCTGCTGACCTTCGACCTCTATTCCAGCACACACGCCTCCTTCAACATCGGCCCTCAGAAAGGTCAGGAACTAGAGTCTGTTATCCTGATGTGTGTGTGCCTCCTGAAAGACTTTTACTAATCACACTTAATGGATGTTCTTTTCATTGTTAAAAAATGTCATCCTCTTTCTTCACTTTTGTAGCATTTCATTTTTGTCTTCTATGAACAATATCTGACCCTCAAACACTGCATTTCTAATGTACCTTTAAGACTTCTTTATGTAAATGATCAGTTATAATTGACTGTTTCTGCAGCTTAGTTTCCATGCATATTCTTGGTTGTGAATGTTAGAGTATGTCTACATAGTGGATGTTATATAAAATGCTTTATATAATCAGGTAATACTAAATACGCTACACTGTAAAAAATTTTTTTGTAAAATAACGGTAAAAAGTCTGGCAGCAAAGTTGCCAACCACTTACCGTCCAATTACAGTAAAAAAAAACTTAAATTATTTTACAGAAAAATGTTGTTTTTTGAAAACGGATATTTACCGTAAATATTTTCTGTATTTTTACAGTCAAACTGCTGTAGAAGAAAAAAAAATCTCATAAAAAAATGTCTGTTGAATGTTAAACGAATGTATAAAAACGTACAAATATTCCAGAAATACCTTAAAATTACATATTTAAAACAAAGACTTCTGTTTTAATACAGTATTATTTGGTGTATTTTTAGGATAATCCAATCCATCTACAAGAACTCCTTGTCAAAGTAAAGACGTTTCTATGTAAAACACACAGAAAATGTTGTATAATTACCTTCAGATACCCTAATTTAAAGCCTAATACCAGTATATTGATCGATTTAAACTTTTATTTTATGTCATTATTCAATCTATTTACAGTAAATTTCCTGTTAAATATTGGTTTTATCCTGTACAAATAAAACAAGATCTTGTGATAAAGTTTCAGAAACATATTTTTAACAGTCATTGCTTTATTAAAACATTATTTGACAGTAATTACAGATACATCTCCAATAAATGTACAAGCTTTTACCATTAATGTATGCAGGTTTACTTTATATAAACATTATTTGACAGTAATAACAAGCAACTCTCCAATATTTCTACATATTTGTACCATTTAAATACAGTGTGATACTTTATATAAAGATTATTTGAAAGTAATAACAAGCAACTCTCCAATATTTCTACATGTTTACCATTTAAATAAGGGGGTTTACTTTATATAAACATTATTTGACAATAATTACAGGCAACTCTCCAATATTTCTACATATTTGTACCTTTAATGTATGGGGCTTTACCTTCTATATACTTTTAACATCAATGTATGAGGTATACTTTATAGAAACATTAATAGACAGTAATTACAAGCATTTCTCCAATATATGTAAAAATACACATGTTTATTTTATGTAAACCATATTTGATAGCAATTACAAGCAGCTGTCCAATATATGTACATACTTTTTCCATTACGGCATGGGGTTTACTTTAAAATGCACATAGGCTTAAAACACGGTCAAGTCCTTCAGTCAAAAAGTTCTTTGTTCTTAGTTCAGAAGCTAAGTTCTTTCCAGTAACAAACAAAGTTAATATATAATCAGTATTAATATACAGATGTGAATGTGCATGCTAAAAAAGTTCATTTGGCAGATTGATATTCACCCACGTCCTTTCAAAATTCCAACGATGGCTATGATCCTCTGTAGTGGCTCTCACCAGGCATTGTCCTGAAAAATAGATAAGATGTATCATGCTTGTAAAAATCGCCAGAGCAGAGCCATTAGGTTGCCCCTTAACAATAATTGCAGTTTGGAGCTTGAATGAAAATTGAACTGTATGCGTTGCGACGTTCGTCTGTATAGGACAACTTAGTTGGAATAAACGAGCAGACACTGATTAGCTACTTGCTCTACGTTTATTTAAAATTAACAGCAAGACGACTAGAAGTGAATGTGCTTTCCATTAAATGAATCACACACAGTAAACAACTCCTTAAGAAAAAAAACAACTTTGTGTGATTTATTTAAAACAAAGCACGTTCATTGCACAGTAAACAAAACCTTAACAAAAAAAAACTTTGCAATGAAGTCGTTCATCCTCGGATGCGGCGCCGTGCGCACTGTTACAAAAAACCCCGTCCACACAGCCAAGCGAAATGGGGTCTTGCGCACCCAACGCGTCATTTTTGCAAGGTGCGCGCGGACCATAGACAGTAAAAGAAACGGACGCGTCGAGTATAAACAAGGCTTTACTCCGTGTCAGCGCGCGCTCTGATCGGTAAAGGTGCACAGACCTCTCCCGAATCATCTCCAGCACCTCCGAAGCACCACTAACTCTCCACCTCTGTTTCCCTCGTAAGCTGATAATAGTATTTAAACATTCTCTATGATAAAAAATGTTTGTAAAAAATATTTTAATAACGGTTTTGGCGGTTATAGAGTTCTAATGACGGTGTTCAACAATAACGGTTATATAATAACCTTCACCCCCCTACTGTTACGTGTTTGCAAGAGGCAACAGTAACTTGTAAGATGTAACGTTAAGTTAACAGCTAACGTTATTAAATTAATGTTAGTCAACCACAGGTATTTAACGTTAATGTTATGATGGCTGATGCATGTTTCACATTCAGGGCTAACGTTAATAACGGTTTAACTTTATTAGGACCAGCATAATGTTACATTTGCTAAAATTAGACAGACTTTTATAAGGTTAATACATAATGTAACAAACGGCGAGTTTTAACGTTAGCCCTGCTGACTCGACATAATGTTAACTTGTAGGGGTGTGCAAAAAAATCGATTCACATTTCAATCGCGATTCAATCTTTACCGATTCAGAATTGATTCATAGAATTCCAAAAATCAATTCATATTTTTTTTTTAATGGCGTGCACGGGTGGAGTGGCAATCGGGTGAGTCGGGACTTTTACCGGTGGTCCGGTAGTGTTTCGAGGCTGCGAGGGCCGGTCTGATAAATAGTTATACATTGCAAGTTCTTGCCGCCCGCTGGTCAAACTGTGCAGCCTCTCTGCTCAACCCGTAAATAAATGCATCGATCCGCAGATCTTATGTTTGAGTTCTGTAGATCTTTTGCCAAGCGTGTCAGAGGTTACGGGTTCTAAACCGCACTCGTATAGTTTTTTCTCTCTCTCATCAAAACCGAATATGTTCATCACGTTTGTGAGCATTTTATTTTGTGATTTCACCGGAGTCTCCACACTGGCGATAGATTGAAGCGCGCGTCCGAGTGAAGACTGCGCGAGCCACAGAGAACACTGTATCCATGACACTGATAGCAGCGGACACGAGCGCTCAGCTTGATTTCAAAAACAACAGATCTCTTATTTAATAGCGAACTAAATGAATGCTCTGCTAGTTAACTGGAGATACCCGCAAATTACGCCTATGAACGACTTCACTGGATCTAATTCTAAACAAATCAATCTAACCATAGATGTTACCAGTAGTGGTGGCTTTTTTAAATCTATTTAAAATATTTTCCCAAGGGTTCTATGACATTAGTATATATTTTTAGGAAGTTCAATGTGCCCAGTCGAGTTCACATTTCAACAGTCAGCCTGGTAGCTGAAGTACTCCTTACACCACATTTAGCATAATTGTTTGTTTGATCTGACTAGCACTTTAAAGCTAAATGTAAAAGCTTTTATTTAAGTTTTATTTTAAACTTGAATTAAATGTAAGCTGGCCAAAGCTTGGCACTTTGCACTTTTTAGTTGCAGAAGTTTTTATTTTTGTATGAAGACATATAAAGTAATATCAAACTACATTTAATTTGTTGTGTTTTTTTTTTTCTTTTAAATTGTGTCTACTGCAATCAATCACAGGAAAAAGTAAACTACATTTATATACTGCGAATCGTTTTTTGAATCGAGAATCGTTTTTGAATCGAAAATCGATTTTGAATCGAATCTTAAGACATAAAATCGGTACCGAATCGAATCGTGACATTTTCTGAATTGTGAATGTGCACCCCTATTAACTTGCATATTAAAATTGTAAAATGTATAAAAGCTGCCGCACTTAAGCACATTTGACATATATTATATATATATATATTATGTATATGACATTTATTTAAATTGTAAAAATGTTATCTTTGAGTAATGTCATCTTTGAGACTGTTAGTTATTACATGATTAAAAATGTAAACATACACATAAAGCATGGCAATCCCGTCAGAAATGTGTATCATAGAAAGGAAGCACACACACAAAAAATGCCAATTGGTACACCAAAATCAAATAACCCCATCAAATAATTTTTACCTGCATCTGAGGGTCTTTCCCTTAATGTTTCCAGTGATTAAAGACTGATGAAGGTGACACGAATCTCCCCTTTCAGTGCGCCACTTCAGCAGAAGAAAGACAAAAGGACAGAAAGTTACTCAGACTTTCCATCAGTAACAGTATGAAAACCACACTTAATACTATCCCAGTGTAGGTTTTCGAACAGTACGTGGGTAAAATTGACTTACTGTAACGTTAGTTGGTAAATGGGTCTTTCTGTTGGGTGTTCTCCCCCGATAAACATCTTATTCCAATGCTTGATCTAAAAAATAAAGTAAACAAATATCTTTTCAATATGTTATCAGTGTTTGAAGAGGTTATGTAAACATACTTCTAACGAATAAATGACGGTTTTATCACTTTACTCATTCCCACGCTTTTTTACCTCTCATGTTAACTTACCAACAACAAAACACAGCAATGTTAGATGGTACTAACACATTGAAATACGTGCTAATATCGCTACGTTAATAGTGAAGCAGTACAAAAACACACACAGAGATAACTTATTCATCTTATGAGGTTGCAGTAAGCCTATGACAGTTAAATTACCCGTGTCCCTAAACGTTAGACTGTTAAAGACTGAAAAATGTTTTCTTACCTGATATCGCCAACAGACCACGTACGACCCCTTCCTCTGTTCATATTCCAGCTTTTGTTCTTCATTGACATAGCGACTCAAATTCGCTCAGAATTTAAGAATTCAACAGGCGGATATAAAATAATCCAGGTCTGACCGAGTAATCAACAGCAGCTGCTCACACCAACCGAGAGTAACGGACGTATTTTCAAACTTAAAATAGGCGCGCAGAGCCGCGCACATTCTCATTGGACAGTTTCCAGGAAGACAGACAGATCAACCAATCATGCTCAAAGTAAAACGGAGAAACAACCAATAACAATAGCAATAGTTTGCGCGAGTTAACATAGCTGTGTATTACGTTTTATTTGCAGTCTGTATTATTATTTAATTAATTGGTCAAATGACATGACAGTGTATGAATATGTAATAAGGCAATGTAAACTGTTAGGCAAGCAGACAAAATTGGCAAGCATACAAGATTGTAAATTCACACAAAATCAAATAAGGCAAAAGGTTTCTGCTGCACTGCTCTGTTGAGGGTGAAACTATTATTGTTAATAATGATAATATTATATTTTAACATATACATTGAAGAACTGTTATGAAAATCAGAAAAATCATTAAATGCTAATGAATTATCATAATAATATGTTAAAAGGCAGATATTTATGTATGTTGTTGAAAACATTACGTTGTTTCAGCGTACAGATCTTGTAAAAAATTAAACGTTGATTTAGAAAGTGTTTTTGTTAACCTTTTTCAACCATTTAGCATTAAACGTTGTTTCAACGACTGGCATTATTTCAATCATATTTCAACGTTGAAGGTCGGTCATGTGCCGGCTGGGTATATTAATCTACCTTTATTGAAAGCTGAATGCCAATATCGTGGAAATGTTCCATACTTTATCCAGGCTCTTTAAGTTATGACGTATCCCCCTCCCAAAGTCAAACAATATCATTGGTCGAGATTGCCTCTGGCGTATGATTCGTCCAATGATTGTACAACATTCAAATATTTGAATCTGCGCGCACTTTCTTGATATCTAAAGCACAGAGACTAGAAAAACAATTAGGATGTTTGTTTACACGTTTTGCAATGTTTCAACCATTTTAATGTCTTCAATTCCTTCACCCCCAGTTTACCAAAGCTCAAGTTTATGCTACAAGAGCCTTGGTTGAACTCGAGCCCCAGAATAAATTCCTTGTCTTACACACATTGCTCACCTATTGTAAATTAAAAATATATAGCACCCCATTGTAAAGCTTTATTCATAGTGTGGCGGTTTGTTCCCATCAACCGAGAAAATTGTGGAGTGGCCTAATGATTTCACTGCAGTGAGGGCCTTGAATTTTGTTGAATATAGATTGACTTTGTGTCTTAATGCTTCAACGTTTTTAAAGTGGATTTACAGCCTTTACTTTTAAATTGAATCACATATTTTCTTCTCAAATATGCATATGAGATACGTGTCAATATAGGTCAGAAAATCACTGTCAGGGCAGCATTTCAAACAGACAAAAAGGACAATGTCACCCTTAAAAGCCAAGCCAAAAGAGGACATATCAGCACACAAGATTCAAGAGTCCTTTCACCGCAACAGGCAGACAGGCGGTTAGTGTCCAGCATTCTTGAGCCTGGTTGTCTTGCGGAACAACTGTCCCAAAGCATGATGATCCGAGACTTGAGGCTCCAGCACCAGACAGCAGCAGCTACAGTGCACGGGGTGGGGTCTGAAAATGTTGCCACTCAATTTTTTCTCTGCCACTTATGAAATTGTTACAGAACACTTCAGAATTGTAAACACTGAGTCAGTGGTACCTGACAGTAGAAACACTGGATATACGATGCATAAACAATCACTGACTATTCTTGATTTAATTTTATATTAAACTTAAGCTGTGCAATTATTTCATGTACAATACCTGTATATTTAGTTACACTGTGCAACAATATCTCCTGCTGTATTCATCCATCTTTCAAGGCAATATGTTTAGATCTGTGTCTGTAGTATAACACACAGTAATTATGCATATCTGCATGAAAGATAGCCTACATAGCTGTTTTTTTATTTGTATTGTATGTATATATTTTTGATCTATCACTCTTGTATCTGCACTTGTTGAATCTTAAGCTGATGTGGCCAGCAAAGTTTATCTTTGCTTCTGAAAAATATCTGCATTGGTGGCAGGGGACTTGGAAGTTTTACATTTACCCTGTATTTGATAGGTGTGAGGTGCTAACCTAACCCTAACCCTATACATTAATGGTAAAGTAATGTAGATATATTGGATAGTTGCTTTTATTTACTATAAAACAATGTTTATATAAAGTGAACTCCTTGAATTAAAAGTATGTAGATATATTGGATAGTTGCGTTTAATAACTATAAAAGTAAGTTTATTCAAAGTAAACCTATACATTTATGTGAAAAGTACGTGTTTTACATCTAAAAATCTGTACTTTGACGGGGAGTTCTTGTGGATGTAATTGATAATGTTATGAATTTACCAAAGAATACTGTGTAAAAACAGAAGACTTCATTTAATTGTATAATTGTAAGGTATTTCTGCAATAATTTCCAGTTTATATGCAGATTTATTCATTTGTTTAATGTTCTACAGACATTTTTTTAATGAGATTTTCTTTTCATTCTACAGCAGTGGAACTGTAAAAATACAGGAAATGTTTACAGTAAATATCTGTATTTTAAAAAACAGAATTATTCCGTAGAATAACTTAAAGTTTTTTCCTGTAATTTGACGGTAAGTGTTTGGCAACTTTGCTGCCAGACTTTTTACCGTTTTTTTACGATTGTTTTTTTTTACATGTATTTACCTTAAATTTAAGGTTTCACAGTAAAAAAACATATAGTTGTCTTAATTTTAAATAAGTGATTTTTTTGTCTTTTTACATATAATTTAAAGTAATTTAACATTCAAGCCAATTAAACAAAAGAATAATCCTGTAAAAAAACTATAATTTCTCTTTATACGAATTTACAGATTATTACTTTTATTTTATGGTTAATGTTTTTAATATAAGTTTTTTTCTGTATTTTAATGACATTTACACGTAATGTTAAAAAAACAGAAAATATCTGTAAAATAATACAGTATATTTCTGTGAAAAAAACTTTTTTTTTTTTACAGTGTAGTCTTCTGCTCTGTAGTAACATGTCCTCTTGTGGTTGCAGGTGAGTTTCTGGACGAGATTGTGAAGCGTGAAGCCCCGCGGAGGGTTCTGGAGCTGGGGACACACTGTGGCTACGCTTCAGTCAGGATTCTGCGTCTGCTCCCTCCGTCTGGAGAACTGCTGACTGTAGAGCTTGATCCTCTGACAGCAGAGCGAGGGGAGGAGATCATACTAGTGTCAGGCTTCAAACACCAGCAGGTATTACAGGACTGGAGTAGAAGGATTGATCAGTAGTTGCTTGACAAGTGTAAATCTGTTTTTTTTTTTTTTTTTTATGTAGTGTCATAGTAATATGTTGTCTTTGAATTAATTCCAGTTTATTAAGATTATTAATAAGGCTAGACACTACAGGTGAATAGGGTAAAAATTGAGATATCACCATACTTTCCTCAGTTTAACCCCCTCGCTTTATTTCTTAGTACGAATGAGACTCAAATACTCTGTCGATTTTGGTCATACAGATCATTCATTCGAAACTTTTAAGTGTCTACTTTTATTTGTGTTCCTTCACAATAACAAACCTTTGTGCTTTTGTAAAATAAAGATAACAAATAAGATGCACTTTCTGTCATCCCAGTCTCTGAACTTTTTTCTGAAACTCTTTATAAAAATTAACCGAATCTCAGTGAATACTTGCCACACATACATGAGAGATCTATTTTAATATTAAAAAATATTATAAGGTCTCGCATATGTCACTGTCGTCGCTCCTCCTTTATGCTTCCGCTCCTCCATGAGAGATGCGAGACCGGTGCGTCTCACAGGTGTCGCTCATTACCACTCACGCCACCGGCCTCGCGCCGCTCTCTCACGTCTCTCGGCCTCGTCCTGCTCGCCACAATAATTTCCTCTGCTAGTTTCAGTTCACCGTCAGACAACACTGCAATGTCCTTGACATTCTTTTTAACATTTTTGTCCATCAGAGCAGAGTAGATGGCAGGCTGCTGCTCCAGATATCTATCCATCATGTCATAAATGGTATTCCATCGAGTTGAGCAGTCATGTATTATACCAAAAGTTGGCGTCTTTTTAAAGATGTCACTCTACCTGTGTGCTTCTGGATGCGGTCCTTACCTGGGATCACGGGATGGTCACGAGCGCTGTATCGTGTGTCTGGGCATTGAACACGCTGAGACAGCGTTCGTGGATGAGTCATGTACCCATTGTGGCAAGATGACCATCTCGGAGCTCATTCCTGCAAAGGGGCGGAGTCCCTGCGCCTCCGCCGCTATCTAGACATCCTGTGAGTGTTACTTCAGGCAGTAGTGCTGGTGACCTGAGGATCACGGTGAGCGCGCTTCCTTTGGGGAACCAACCCCCTAGGAACCCTCATCCCTCCGCAGCCAGTAGAGCCGCCAACGGAACGTGCTGGACCATCCATGAGGTGTGTACTAGTCGTTTCCTTCGGCACTCCCCATGATGAACAGATGTCAATCGCTGCATCAGAGGGTGGGTCAGACTTCTCTGTGGATGATGATTTGGCACCGCTGCCCCTTCGGGTGTGACAGCGGTGCCAGAGTCGGACCCAAAGATGATGGCCATCGGGCTCGTGTCGAACCCTCTATCGTGTCCCGAGCCCTCGAGGCTGGATGATTGGTATCTCGCGCGCTGGTTCTCAGCAACCCAACCGAGTGCCTTTCTTCCCGTAGGCGCATGAGGAGCTTACTGGGGCATAGATGGCACCTTTCACTACGAAAAAACTGTCCCGGTGGCTCCTCCTCCCTCACCACCCTTGATGGCGGGGCAGCTAAGGGTTACACACGCATCCCACCAGTGGAGCAGTCCGTTGCTATGCAACTGTGCCCTAACTCCACTTGGCGCGGAGAGCCGTGTCTCCGCCCGCCCAATTGGGCGGTTTTGCAATCTATATTGCGGGCAAAAATGGGTTTGGGCGGGTGGATAAAAATTTGGCTGGTTTCGGATCAGTTCGGCGGGTTTTTATAGCTTATCACAGTCTGATCTGTGGATCTGCATATTACATATTCATTTTCTATGTTTACCGTGTACTTCTTTGTCTTGTAAATTACATGTGTAACTTATGTTTTTTGTACCTCGACACTTTTTATCTTGGCCAGGTCGCCATTGTACATGAGAAAGTGTTCTCAATGTGCTTACCTGGTTAAATTAAATGAAAATGAAAAAATAAACGGTAGACGGTAAACTGTAGCTACTCACAGATTTGTTTGTGCCGGCTGATTCAACCAGGCCAGCTGTTTAGGTGCGGGATGCACGGGATGCAAATTTTTTTTTGGGGGAGGAAAAAGCTCAGTATAATATAATAAGCAAAAAAAGACTTCACATATAAAAAAGAAATATAGCCTAAAACAAAAACATTTCAAAAACTGTAAAATGTTATATAAAAATAAAACATTAATAAATTATTTTATGATAAACATATTACTGTCTTAAGTGAACTCATTTATAGTTATAAACGCAAATAATAATTTGTCATTATTATTATTAGCCTACATTTAGGCTAGGAGACGCTTTTATCCAAAAAAGGAACAAAGCAATTCGTCAAATGTCAGTCATAATACAGGTTAGACAATAATAGTACAGGGCTAAGATCATTACAAATAAACGCAAGATTTTGACGCATATCCAAGCAAGGGTTTGTGTGGAGCGCGGCACATGGCATGGAGGCGCGGGTGCGAACACTTGCGTTTTCCTATCAACAGTGGAAACAACTTAAAATACTCTATCATTTCTGGTCATACAGAAAATAACAATACATCATTCACAACTACTTTTCTTTGTGTAAATTCACAATAACAAGAAAACGTTGTGCTTTTGCAAAATAAAAGAAAACAATCAGGCGCGCTTTCATGGTCTCCGTGAACTGGATCAAGTCTCAAAAATGAACTGAAACAAAATATAGCCTACACTGTTAAAAATTTCCTGTAGATTTTACAGTAAAATACTGGCAGCAGGGTTGCCAGCCAGTTACTGTATTTTTTACAGTAGCGTTTCTGTAATTTAATTTACAGATTTTTACTGTATTCTCTGATTACAGTAAATAACTGTATTTTTTAATTGTTGTATTTTTTTACAGTAAGTTACATGAATCTTTGTATTCACTATATCTAGAGGAAATATGTAAAATGCAGTATATACAATATATTTTCCTGATTTTTAAATATTAATGACTGGCAGCTGAATTTTAAATGTTAATTATTTATCAACTGCATATGCTTTAAACAATTGTTTTTAAATACATTAAGTGTTGTATAACGCACAACTTAATTCCCCTATTACTTCACAAAACAAACAAATTATTCAACATCCTAATCTTGAAAAACAGGTCAACATTTATTTAATTTATAACTTTAAAATATGCATGAAAAAAAAGTCATAAAACAGTGTATTTTGTATTATTTTGATTTCATTTTTATTTACAAACTTTTTTTTTAAATGGACATGAAATTAAATATTTTTTTAATTACTTGAAACAATAATCTCGACGAAGTGTGCAGATCAACACGAAGCTCGTGTGAATACCGACTGTTGTCATTAAAGCATGTAATTCTCCTTAACATAGGAGCCCATAGATCCCGAGGAATGTGTGAAATACTACCGCGTCCGCGATGCTGAAGCCCCGCGCAAGTCTCCCTCGTGCCCCGTACGGAGGATGCGTGATCCTCGGTTACCAATATGAACCGCGAATATAACGTTACCTTCATAGTCTACGAGTAACACAACATAAAAATAAGAAACTGAAATAATAAGTCACTTACCACAGAGTTGAGAATCACTCCTCTTGCCGCTACTCGAAAGTCGACGACACGACCGTTGAAGATCACAATGCCTCTGTAGATTTGAAATTTACAGCAATATTCTGTATTATTAGAAAACAGCCAGCTGCTGTAAAATATTGCTGTAATTTTTACAGCAATTCTTTACTGTGTACCTACTATGTAGACTAAAGCTTGAAATGTCCACTTTTAAACTAACAAATTCTAATCGAAAGCAACCCGTCTGATTAATCCATAGCTATGAATTTCTCTCTAAAAGCGCATCCGCTTTACAGCGGAGATGGAGATATGTTTCCAGCCGACAATAATTTAGAAAACACTAGTTTATTAATAAACAATTAAAATGCAACGTTATTTTTTCAGACACATTTATTATTAGCCTATAGCCTAAATCACCTCTCTGTATGGTTCCAGAGACATGGCTCTTCTCATTCAGCCAACATGACATCATGATCATTTCCGGTTTTGGCCTTAGAAAACTAGTAAAATAAAATAAAAATCCATTTTCATTTGTGAATATTTTAAATGTTTAATAAGGGGGCAAAAAGTCATATGAAAATACAAAATATCTTACAAAAATCTGAAAATACGTCAATATTTATTTTTGGCGCAGCATTTGGTGTGCCTACAGTTCAAATCCAAATTTTGGGTTCAACTTTGCGTTTTAAAAATAGCCTACAACAACCGTTCATTTTTTGTTTTTCAATTACGGGTTAAAAAAGGAAAAACAAATGGACGCAAAAGTACACGGACCAATGGGTAATTTTGTATTTTATTTATTTTTTTAGTGTTTGAATAAAGGGTGGCAGTCTTTCATAATCAACTGTTGTTGTGGACTATATACTGGAGAAGTATTTGTTCTCCACTTGAGTGAGATGTTTTTAGGTGGCTAATTGAGCAAAGGGCTTCTATATATTTTATTATTAGTAGTATTCTGTCAGGTCCATTAAGTCAAGAACACACATGACAATAAAAATGAGTAGGAAATTGTATTGAATAAATTGCCATTCAAGTTGCTAATTAAAATTTGGCGGTATGGCTCTGTTCAGGGAGTCCTCTGACCTTTCATGAGCACCATTAAATAGCAGAGAGTCAGAGGACAGCAGCAGCATTAGGACACGCTCACAGTTTAGTACTGGGAGAGCAGAACTATTCCCCCATATGAACAGAGCAGCAACGATGACAGAAAAGCAAATGCCACGTTATACACAAGGAGGAGCTGGGGAGGAGGTGGGTTGCAGAGAGCGAGCAGTTAGGAGCGAACTGAATCTGCTTAAATAGGGCGCCCTGATTTGAGCGTAGTCATTAGCAGCGAGGGGAGATGAACAGCAGATGCGCTGATGCAGCTCAGCTGAGCGATCGCTAGCAGCATCTTGACTACTTGGCCTGCCAGAACTGATGTTGACGCTCAATTTAGTTCAATAATAAAATAAAAATATCGGATTGATATCGGTATAGGCAAATAGCCAAAGCTGCGGCATCGGTATCGGAAGTGAAAAATTGGTATCGGGACATCCCTAGCCCATATGTATATCTCCACATAACTCCTTCAGGGAAGAATGTGGGTTCCATAGCGTTCTCCTTCCTAACATAAAGGGCACGCTTTCCCAGTGTTATCCAATAATCTCACTGTATGGGTTATCACGGAACAACAGTGACAGATACACTCTGTGTAAGCCTTATCCTGGCAAGAAGGGGTAAGTGGCTGCATATTTTAGAGTGGCCTTTTATTGTGGCCAGCCTAAGGCACACCTGTGCAGTAATCATGCTGTCTAATCAGCATCTTGATATGCCACACCTGTGAGGTGGATGGATTATCTCGGCACAGGAGAAGTGCTCACTAACACAGATTTAGACAGATTTGCGAACCAAATTTGAGAGAAACAAACACCTTTTGTGCACATAGAAAAAGTCTTAGATCTTTGAGTTCAGCTGGGGTCAAAAACAAATGGGGGCAAAAACAAAAGTGTTGTGTTTATAAATTTTTTCAGTGTGGATTAAAACAGGGTTTTTTTTTAAGTTGAGGGTCAGCTCTTTCTTTTGGTATAATGCATGTTCAGAAATTTATACAACAAAAATATTCTGGGGGCCATGAAACTTTTATGAAAATTATTTTAAAAAATATGCTGGCACTGGCTGGCAACTTTTTCAAAAGCGCCAGCAGAGATAAAGTTAAAAAGCCTTAGATTTTATTTTTAAAAACCCTGCAAATAGCGTGTGGTAAAATGACCTCAGCATGTTTTGCTCAGTTTCAGGTACTAACATGCTCCTCGGCTGAGGCCATCTCTTCTTTACACTCCCACACTGGGAATGATCGTCTGGATCTGGTTCTAATGGATCATGACCCTGAGCTTTACCTTCAAGACCTGCTGGCCTTACAGAGAGGGAACCTGCTCTCGACCTCCTGTGTTGTGTTGATCAACAGAGCTCTGACGCCTGGAGCTCGAGACCTTCTGGAGTATGTGACAGCTAGACCGCAGAGCTTCAGTGTGGGCAGACAACTCGATGGATTGATGGAGATACGCTGTCATACGGCTGCCTGACCTGAGGCGTCTGAGTGCTGCAGGAATGAGTCCTAAAAGCCAGAACTGAGTTTGCATTTTAAGCACTTCTGGTTCCATTGTCCTGAAGTCAATGGGTTTTTTGGTTAAATCCCTGAAATAAGGTGTGGTTAACACAAGTTAAAGATATTTTCTTGTTTCAATCTACGTCAAAAAGGAAAACTCCATTCATCCACTCACTCGTGCGTAATTATTATATGCCTGCTTATTTAATTTTGTCTTCTGATATGATTTTGCTGTTTTCTTCCTACAGGACCAAAAAGGGTCTCAGGACCAAAAAGTAGCAATGTTAATTTTGTTCATCACCCTATTGTTGTACTATACTATGTATTTACCTATTTGTTTGTACATGTTCAATATATAAATTATAAAAATCTACACACTACGCTTTTGTCAAGAAATTAGATACAATTAATAATTTAAGTGGATATTGATATGGGATTGTTTAATATATAACCCAGATACCAAGCAATAATTGAAACAATGTTGAGGCGTCAACCCTAATTGCATTGAATCTCCACAACAATGTGATGTTGGTTCAATATCACTTTTGCACCTGCAATTAATGTTGAAACAATGGTGAGAAAACCAATGAAAATGTCATTGAATCGACGTTACACTGATATTGATTCTGCTTCACTGCTGTTGAATCAATATTGGAATTAACAAAGAGTCATTGGTAATATGGTTTGATCAATGTTGAAATGTGATGTTGATTCTAAATCACTTTTATTGAAAATACAACTGAAATGTAATACATTTGGTACTCAACCAGAAGAATACTTCGGGGGGTGTATTTGCTGCCTTTTACCGCTAAGAGGCGCTACAATCACAGACTTTGAAAAGTGTCAGTTCATTCTCTCTATTGCGTAATCTGCCGCGGCTCGTTGAGAACTGATAGCAGATAAATTCAAGTGAAACATTTTAGTTAAACGACTTCTTAATCACAATGCTTAAATTAAAATACAAATTTAGAACTGAAAAAAATGTAGGCTTCTATTATTGCATCAAATTTAAGCCAAGTAGGTTAAACGTTAACATTGTGTGCCCATTTGTCTATAGGCTAATCTTAGGTTATGTGTCTATATAATAGGTAGGCTATTATACTTTGTTTAGATTAATAATGATTTCCATTACACAAGAGTAGATGTTAAACCTCATGCTGATTTGTACTCTGCTTTCGCCAAGATAAGCACAAACTAAGACGTAGCTTTACAGTAACCTATGCTTCTCTCTCTCCATCTCTCCATCCATTTACGCTTCTATCCATATGGTGATGTGAATCTCCTTCTGTCCGGCTTTAACGGCTGCAGTGTACTTGGCGCGTCAGCACACACACCGGCTGCAACTACAGTGTGGTCTCCCCAGTGGACCAGCACGATAATCGTCTGGATTGAGCCGAGTAGGGGACATCTCTAGGGTCTTCAAGTGGGCAGCTTCCATCATCAGTGTTTCGTAGACTAGCCCACGACACCTCTTAGTAGTATTGTAGGGGATATAATTGATTTGTCTAACCGGAAATGTCTAACCGCACACTCATCGATGCGGAAATCCAACATGGCGGCCACGTGCAACTAGCCTGTTGTCCCCTGTATTGGTTCCTCCTGAGAACACCTGTATCCTGTAAAAGAACAGACACAATTTGTGATGTTAAAATAATACTTTAAAAGTTAATGGCAAATGTATTTACAAATTTAGCCTTACTTCGTCATACTCATATTCTAGTCAGAATATGAGTCTGATACTGCTCCATAGGGCTTTGATTATGAGGCGTGTCTTAACCGAACCAGGAAAAAAATAACTCTGCACTCAATTGGATAGACCTACAACCAATCAGAGCAACGCAGTTGTCAAACTGCACTCTGGAAAAAGTATTTTAAAAATAATGAGTGTTAATGATCTTTGCCGGTGTTGCAAAAATAATTTAAGGATTCGCGGAGTACTTGCAAACACGAAAAGCATTTTTGAAAGAAATACGTTTGATGACGTGATGATTACGTAACTGCAGATCATCTGTCCATCATCGTATAAAGCCCGCCCTGGCAATTTGATTGGCCCGTCGATTTCTGAACTGATCATAATTACTCCTCAATGGATCGAGTCCAGACCGAACTTCCAGACCAAGTTAGGTTTTAAAAACATTACATTTTATTTTCATTAAAAATGTGACCGGACCTTCATACCGTTAGCTCACTAAAATAAAATGGCTGACATCATACAGGCACTTGCTGCTACACATCAATGTTTAATTGGTATCCAAGTTCACCTGCTGATACTCCTTCCAAACTGTCCTTCTTTGGTGCAGACTAGCTTTGATAAACTACTTGCTGCGAAATTTTCAGTGGATATAAAAACGACTAATGTTAGACGCTTTTAAATAAGGCTAACATTACCTAGACTAGGACACGCACACACAGCCAGCACGTTACATCGATTTCCTTACAGAACGCGTAACATGACAGTTTGAGCTTAATCATGGCCAGCTAACATTAAATTACTCTGAAGTTAACCAGACTGGGTGACTTTTTCTCCAAAAACGCTTCTAACTATATTTAATCCCCTCTGTTTTTGACTAACCACCAGTCTCAACTTTGTAGAAGTGGATAATGGCGGCGCTTAGCTAACGTTAACTTTATTGTGATTAAAACTCACGTTCAGTTAATTTTGAACCGTAACAGCTATTCAATAATCAAACCATCAAAATTAACACATAGTTGTTATCATAAAATATAGAATAGAAAAGTCAAAACTTACCGAAAATAAGTCAGCCATGTCAAAGCGACATCCCAAACCGACCGTCTGCCACAACTGAACAAGCGGGATCTTGTAAACAAACAAAAAAACGCGTGGATTCAAATGCACTTTGCTTTTCAGATTAGAATTTACTTAGTATTTTTAGGTGAATGTGGTGTGACTATAAAGCATTAAATAGTATTTGTAAATATATAATAAAATGTACTCTTTCTTCTCAGTTAAGTTATTACATGAATAAAATGTGTAAATTTTACTTTAAAAAGTATAGTTCCAACTTGTGTGTATAAATTACATGAATTAATATAATATATTTTACCATACCACAAAGTCATTATTTTCAGTGTACATTTACTAAGACTACTGCAAATGTCTAAAAACATCTGTAAACATCGCATCCAAGTTTTCACAGAGCGTTGTAGCGCGTGCCGAGGGAGGATTATATACCACTAAAATATGAAATTGCATACTTTGCGACAATATTACATTAATGCATAAACTTTCAGTTGACATATCAACAGTTGGATACATTTGCTTTGCATTAAATGTGTCCTTAATATATATCAGTACACCCCCACCCCTTCCCACAGTTCGGTCCCTTCTAAAACATGTATACCCCGGAACATCAATTATGCTAGTTGGAGTTTTATCATGCAGCCAAGTTTCGCTAATACATAGAAAATCGATGTTGGACTCAGACAACAAAATTCTGATCTCATCTAGCTTGGGAAATAGGCTTCTGATATTTAAAGACCTCCTAAAATACCTTTAGGCTTTACAGTGGAATCCCAGACCACTCTGGCATGATTAACAGTCTGAAAAGAATAAAGTTTGTCTCTGTTTAGTCAATGCTTGTGTTTGGAGTGATCTTACTTTGTCGGTGACGATTCTTCTTCTTCGATTTATTCTTAGCGATCACAAAATTGCTTGTTTGGGAGATTCATGCTAGTTGCTAAGGTAACCGTGAAGGCGCTGGCGCGTAGCCTGACCACAGAAACGGAAGAAGGGTGCGTAAAAATTAATTTAAAAAACGTGTTAGGGAAAGAAATATGAATAAATGACATTGCCAACAAATATTTTAAAAATATGTCATCCTTTATTAAAAAGTGTGTTTTCATGTTGAAATCGAGGCACTAGATGCTTTTCGTTGACATTTTGGAGAGGCGGGACACACTCTGGACTGGGCGCCAGTCCATCACACAACCACTCACACTCCCATTAGAGTCTCCAATTAACCTATTCTATTTGTTTTCTTTAGGTCAAATATTTTCAACTTATATGTTTTTATACAGAAAATACTTTATTTGTAAAGAACAAAGTGATATGTGATACAAAGACCACAAGGACATTCATACATAAATATATGTATAAATTAAAGCAAATATCCTATGATTGTAAGCTGATATTTACAACACCAGTTGTCTAGTGTTAATTATTTTATCCAGAGCGAAGTTATGCAGCAGCATAATGAAAAACTTGTCTTACATATATAGTTTACTAATTAATTAATACAACACATAACTCTATATACCTACTTGACAATTAACATGTGAAAGTGTTATTTTGTGTGATTACTTTTAGTTATATACCCTGTATACAACTGGCATAAGATAAAAGATAATCTGGTTAAGATAAAAATGAAAAATCAGTCATTTAACATCTTATGTTCAAGACATCTTATAAAACAAAACAACAGCTCAGCACGAACTAGTTTGCATGCATGTACAACATAGTTTTATAGTTACCTGAAGTAATTCCATGGTAAATTAGTTAATTTTGTTGGCAAGGTAACAGCAGCAATAACAGCAGGAAATACTACACTTAAGACTCAACTATGGGTATTGATCAGTCATTTCTGGAAAGTATTTAATCTAGTGCTATGTACAGTAAATGGTTCATTCCAAAAGTATCCACAATCAATGTGAATAACATTATACAGGTGTATAAAACAATCAAACTATCTATTACATCAATGTAAGTGTAAAATTTTTGTACAGTAAAGGTCATTATGTTGACAAGATGAGATGGGCAAAGCGTGAAACATCGGAGGTGAAACTTAAAAACCGACCTGCTGTTTGTAAACTGAGTTTTGGAGAATCACATAAAAAAATGTAATAATAATTGAACAGTAGTTTCCTATCCATCTATGAAGCTAATGTTGCTTACACACTGCAGGAAACAATAGTCCAAAACGCATCCCACCAGTTAAAGGGATACTCCACCGGTTTTTCATATTAAACTATGTTATTCCCTTAACTAAGACGAGTTGGTACCTACCTCGTCTCAGTGCGTGCGCTCAATCGCTCTGGCGCGCCACAACACATTGAACTAGTGCGTGCGGTATGGCGGAATAGCACTTGAAAGCACTTTGACTAGGCGCAGTAATATCATCACTCCAGGATCATTCAGGATCATTCAGGATCATTCAGGAGTGATGATATTACTGCGCCGAGTCGAAGTGCTTTCAAGTGCTATTCCGCCATACATTATAGT